AATACACCATTCATTGAAAAAAAGTACCTATGTCTACTTATCTTCAGTGTAACCCCTGAAGAAGGTCGATCCTGTCTAACCGAAATAATGGGCATTAAATTTCCCCTTTTCAGCCGTCCGGTCAGCCTTTCAAATGGTTTTATGCTTTATTTTACACTGCTGATCCTGATCTAAACCAAGATCCGGCTTCACTCCTCCTGTTTGTACGAGTGGTCCTTGCATTACAGTTTACCCGATTGAAGTATTATGACCATTGATCCGCATAGCCTGATCCAAACAGAAGCATTTTCACCCTTCTCAAGCTAAACAAAGAATGGCAACAGACATCGCGACATGGAGAGCTCGCATTGGCCTCTTCAGCTTTACAAATGGAAACAAACGCTTACGAAACAAAGCTGCACGCCTATTCTTAAACCGCCGTCTTGCCGGCGACCAAACTCTAACATCATTAATTTTTGTCAACCAACGCCACATATTTTTTGTAACCGTTTTATCCATATCTACTTAGATTCAATGTAGCCCCTGAGGAAGGTTAGTCCTGTTTAACCGAAATATTGGGCATTAAATTTACCCTTTTCAGACGTCCGGTCAACCTTTCAATTGGTTTTACCCCTTTTACCGCCTACTTAAAAACACATTCCTTTTAAACTATTGAAATGAAAATAATGATGTAATGGCTAAATAAATTTAACTATACAGCCTTAACGTGCGTCTGTTCTAATTAAAATCCCTTTTTAAATACCTGAATGACCCTTTCGTATACCACAACCGTCGATGGGGTTTTAAAAAGAACATTAGGAAAAAAGACCTAACGTCACTCTTAAACAACAACAATAGCTGCTGTAACCTTTGCAATTCTTAGAGACTACCTCTTATATACCCATTGTTTTATTGAAAAATTTATACATGCTACATATTTTAATTGTATATACATTTTTATTATTATTCATTATTTCTAAATAATTTTAATTTTTTGCTGTTGTCCCCAATTAGTTGTGAAAACTAAATACATTGACACATTAATAGAGCTTTTACTTTACTTTACTTTACTTTACTTTACTTTACTTTACTTTACTTTACTTCACTTTACTTTACAACTTGTACGACCCCTACTCTTATATATACCTGAAGACTGAAAAAGATACTCCTTCCCCGTATTGGCCGTTTCAGGGAGTAACCCCATCCCGGGCTATAAGGATATTAATATTTCAGTATCTAAACTGTACTTTTGAGTTTTTGTCAATCACTGATGTTTTTTTTTTTTACAATAACTGTCTAATTTCTCGCGCGCTGATTGGCTCACTTTTACCATCAATAAGAGTACAGACGGAAAAAAAATTAATTTCTGCAAGCTTTCAAGTTCAACTTTCAGCTGTCAAGCTGTAACCCTAACCCTAAACCCTAACCCTAACCAATGATTTTATAGGCTTTTTAAAGTAGCCAATCAAAAAGCGAGAAAAGCTATTGGCAATGTTCGCGTCCTTTAGAATAAAATTCATTTATCTTTGTTTACGGCAAGTTTACGGCGTCTTTTCCCCTCATTTATTTCCGGCATTTGACCATTTTGGGGTCTTGTTATTGTAAAAAATAAATTGACGTCAGTTTTTTATTTTATTTTCATTGTCAAAGTTTACTGCGTAACCTCTCGCCTGCGGTTCGTGGTTCCACAGTCACTTTGACAATGTTATGACGCAATTTATCATCAATAAGAGGACAGACACATAAAAAACTGACGTCAGTTTGTTAATTAGTATCGCGTGCCGTTGCTGTCGCGGCGTGTTGTGTTATCTTTGTTGACAACGCCGCTGGGGACTGCCACTGAGTAGAGTTCTAGCGACGAAATTTGGCTTCTCAAAGATCTGTCGTGTGGATATCTATTGGCCAGTTTTTTTTGTTTTTATTCTTCAAAGGAGAATCGTTCTGTGTAGCCCTGGGTGCATTCCGCAAGACGCCCACGCCGAAGATACGCCAAGACTTTTTAAATTCCAAGCCATGTGCCTGGCAAGCGGCCAAAGTCCCACGCCGAAGAATGTGTTAAAATCGCCATCTTAACGCGGGTAGGAGAATTTGGACTGAAATGGATCGTAAGATACCCGTTATCGGCCAGAATATGGGGGATAGAGAGAAGTTAAGAAGCCATAGTTATCACGGCCAATTCGTTTTGCGTACTTAAACGTTTTTACGCCAGCACCAGCAAATATAAATGCGCACTCTAAAGATCTGAATGCACCTATCGTTCCGTTTTCCAGCACAACTACTAAACATGGGAATCCGAGAAAAGGGGTAAAACAGTGGTTATAATACAAGCAGATGATAACTGTACCAACAGTGAATGCATTAGTTTTGTTTGTCAACTATTTGATTTATTGCAAGATTTACTACAAGAATCTCTGATTATTCTTACATTGAAAAGTTGCTTGAGTCCAGTCCAGATCCAGACTGTTTACAATTGACTAGTTCCCAGTCTTCTTCTTTGTGGTCTCGGTTTATTTCCAAGGCAACAACAGTTTCGTCTCCATCGTCAAGCAAGAGGACTACATAGTCGTTTGTTGTAGATATTTAGAACTAAAATTCAGTGTTCAAATCGGCAAGATGATTCCACCGAATGCTTCCCTGGTAAAATATGATAACCCAGTTCTCGTGAGCAGGAACACAGACAAAAAATCACCAAGGGTAAGTTAGAAAACCTTGATTTTGCAACTTGCACAAATTCGGTTGTCTTTGTACAGTGTAAGTTGTATTAACGACTTTCTTTGTTTTTAATATCACATCAAGTGCCTGTGCATCCATTACCTGGTCTATGCAGACGTTTGAGCACGTTGACCATTTAATTCGAC